AGGAGTTCATCATCACCAAGCGCTTATTATATGAAATGTTAAAGGGACTTATCTAAGAAAAAGAAGATAAAAAATATGAGCAGTAAAATAACAACAAACTAACAACTATCAATAAATGAACCTAAAAGAAAAGAAAAACTTAAGCAAACAGCTAGAACAGGAACAGAATCAGAGAAATGGGCATCACCCTGAACATCACAGAGGGAGTTCAGTGGGGAGGGGGAAGGGAGGACTAGGGAGGAAAAGGTACAGAGAAGAAGAAGCATAATTAGTAGGCATAAAATAGATGGGGAAAGATAAAAGAATGGTATAGAAAACAGAGGACTCAAAGAACTTATATGCACAACCCGTGGACATGAACTAAGGCCGGGGGAATGCTGGAGGACTCGGAGGTGCAGGGCAGAGAGGGGATAAAGGGAAAAAATTGGGAAAACTGTAATGGCATAATCAATAAAATATACTTAAAAATAATAGTAGAATTCACTTGGAAATAAAAGTAGGAAATGAAAGAAGGAAGGAAGGAAATAAGAGAGAACTTGGAAAAACAAAGAAATCAATGCAAGAGAATAAAGAACACAGACATAGACTAAGATGCCTGTGCACTGAGGAAAAGCACCACCCAACTCATGTACAGAGAGAAACAGCTTTCTAATGAAAAGTTCTTGAGGGCTAGGGGTGCCTGGCTATAGGCGTGAAGTAATGCAGACACTCAAAGTCCACATCTATCAGCTCAGTTTCATTGGCCTCCACGCGTTGGTTTCATTCTGATTGGTCTTCTCATGGCTGTGTGACATTTATAACCATCGCAGCCTCTCCCTTTAAGTGCAACAAGAGTAGTTAAGACTTCCGGTCACTCGGGCAAGGGCTCAGGGGAAGCCCTGTTGGCTTAATCGGCCAGCTGAGTCGAGTGTTCTCCCCGTTCTTCCTGATGATGGAAAGTCAGATACAGTTACTGGAAGATGAATGGATGCCAGGGGCAACAACAACCACGCGTCTGCTCTGTGGATCCACGTATACGTGGGGATCTAATGTATGATGAAGGCTGTAGTTCAAGGAGTTCAATCAGTAATGTGGGGCTGCCCTGGCTGGTGTGGCTCAGTGGACTGAGCCCCAGCCTATGAACCAAAGTGTCGCTGGTTTGATTCCCAGGCAGGGTACATGTCTGGGTTGCGGGCCAGGCCCCCAGTAGGGGCATGTGAGAAGCAACCACACATTGATGTTTCCCTCCCTCCCTCCCTCCTTTCCCCTCTCTAAAAGTAAATAAATAAAATCTTTAAAAAATAATGTGGGGCCAACTAGATACCCATTTGGAAAAAATTATATTCTTTACTGCATGTCATTCACAAAATTATGTTCCCAGGTGAATTAAAGCACTAAACATAAGAGACAACACGCTACACGTACTCAAAGAAAACACAGGAGATAGTGATGGAAGCCTTGGGTAGGGAAGGTCTGCTTACGCAAGACATAAGTGACAAGATGCATAAATTTGACCACATCATAATTTATAACTTCTCTATGACAAAGTACACTCTAAAAAAAAAGTTACAAGACAAACTGGGAGAAAGAATTGGATGTACATCTACCAATATCTATAAATGAAACAAATCATATTAAAAATGTATGCCTGTTAATTTAAAATGTCAACCCGATAGAAAAATAAGCAAATACATAAGAGAAAACCCAACTGGCCAATAAAAATATGAAAAGATGTTCTATCTCATTAGTAATTTGGAAAGTCACACTAAGATAGAAATACAAGATGATTTTTTTTTCTGTATCAGGTTGGCAAAAATTAGAAAGACTGGTGACCCCAAATGTTGGGGTGAGAATGGGGAGATGGGGATTTTCATAAACTGCTGGTGTTTCATTCCGCCCAGAATGTGGCCTCATCTAGTTCAAAGAAAGAACGAAGATTACTCTCGGACATTGTAGACACTGTCACAGAGGGTGTGTCAACGAGCGAGGTGGGCGGATGGTAGGAAAGAATAAGCTAAGAGGAAGAGCAGAACGAACCTTAAAAGGCCCGCGTCACAGATCACCTCCCGGGGTGACTCAGGAAACAAGCGTTTCTTGTGGGTGTTGGGGGAAACCTCTTGAAAGAACACAGGGTCTGAGCAACGTCGAGTCCGAGAACCACAAGACCTTGAGGGAGGGTTTTCAGAGTCATCATGCCTTCCCCACACCGCCGCCCCGGTCCGCCCAGCTAGGGCGCTCCTCCGGAAGGGCCGCCATTGCTCTCCCCCACCACGGGAAACGTCACGGAGCATCCTGGCACCCAGCGCTGCCTCCAAGGCCCCCTGCACTGAGCAACAACGTGGAATCGGACATCGCTGGGCCTCCGTAGCCCCACCTGTAAATGAGGATCATAATACTTACCTTGTGGTATTGCTGGAATTTTGAATGGGATGATGACTCTAAATATATTGTCTGACGAAGTAAGCACTCTAATAAAGAACATAATGAAATAAGCAAAAGCTATTGATTTGCAGCAGAGGGCGCAGGGGACTGGAGAGGACAGGTTCTGAGGGACCACGTGTGTCCGATGCTCTCTCGAAGCTAACAATTATGCAACCTATGGGAGAAACCAAGTGTTACAGGCTGGACAAGTCAAAAGACAAACACCCCAAAGAAAAAGGGCAAAAGACACAGACGATCTATAAGAGAAAAATTAAAATGGCCAATAAACATGGAAAAGAGTTCAGCCTCCCTATTAACTTAAAAGAAATATAAAATGTAAAAAGTATGAGACTCTACCGAAACCACAAAACTCGCAAGACCTTTTTCAGAAATGTAAGAAGCAGGGCTGGCAGGAGCTGAAACAGCAACGTGTCAGCAACTGCTGTTTGAGACGGCAAAACAGGACATTTCAGGAGGACAGACAAAGGGCATCTCCAAAACCTTTCCAAGACACCCCCTTATTTAGGAAATAATCAGGTCTGCACTGACATACTTGGATTTGGGGGTACCAACCCAACTCACCACAACCCCCTCGGTCCTCTCTTCCCCACCCTTCCACCCACAGGGAAGGTTGAGCAACAATTTTCTGCCCCTCTGGTCACAGCCCACAGGATCAGCGGCCTTGAACTTGAGGTGGAGGACAGGGCAAGAGGGAGAAAGACAACTGTGTGGACAGAACTATAACATACGAAGTTGCAAACCAGGGTGGTCGTTTTCCCCAAGCAGTGACAGAGAAGGTTGACCTTGAAAGGACAGAAAGGACACAGCCCCTGCCCAGAGAGGCCAAAGCAAGAGTGAAGGCGTGTGGCTCAGGTGCTCAGCGCAGCAGACAGCAAGAGGAAATTAGATGTGGCGGAGATTTGCTTGGGGAACTTTCTGTGAAGGCAGACAGGTCCTTCGACCCATGATGCAGGTCTGATACCCGTGAAAGGAAGAAAGAGTCGGCAGCTCTTGGGAACTCCGGGCAGACCGACAGGAGCTGCTGCAGGGAGGAGCGCAGGGATGGGCAGAAACTGCTGAGCTTGGTCCTGCCTGGGAAGCAAGGACTGAGGGCAGACAGGGCTGGAGGGGAGCGCGGCCTTGCTTACGTTAGATCCGAAGGTCAACCACTCTTCGTGGAAGGCTCCCCTAGGATGGGAGTGGGCAGGGTGGGTGGGAAGCAGAGCGGTGCCCACTCACTGATGCTGCAGAGGGCTTCCAGGCCAGTTCCCAGTTCTGGTGGTCCCCAGGCCCTACTGCAACCCCACCAGGTCTGTCCTAAGAGCTCCTCTCACTGAACAAGCCCTTTCCTTCCTTAAGGTGGCTGGGCTGTGTTCAGTGATATGCAGCCCAAGCTCCAGCCATTACCTACACCAAGATTTGTGTTTGACGATGTAGTTTGAGGTCTCCCTTATAAATGTTCACATTACAAATAGTCCTCATGTAAGACTGCATATCTTGACAGCGGTTCAGGTCACACAGGTATATGCATTTGTTAAGATCTGTGCATTTGGGGGCATGTAGGTAGTAAGTGGGCGGCCAGTCCTGAGCAAGGGCTTGGAAAGAGACCTTGAAAAGTTGGTTGAAACTAGTTATGTGCTTGCTGGGTGCCAGGTGCTGTTTCAATTTGACACATATTCACTCGTGTGTCAGAGGCTTCAGATGCCATTGACTAGAGGAGGCACTGAAACACAGGCCAGTCCTGTCCGCGGCAGGCCGGTGCCTTCCACAGGCTGGAGCAGGCCCGGGGAGCCTGGGGGGCACATCTGCAAACACGGCACCTACTCGGTGTACCTCTGCGCACAGCCCCTCCTCCCAGGCAGAGAAGTGAGAACCAGCACACACACGGTCACCCTGTACACACGCCTGTATCTCATGCTCAGGAACCACACGGAGCCTCCCAGGAAATAAGGCTTCCTGCTTGAGCTAGGAAATGACCCCAGGAGGCCTCCCCTCCCAGCCTGGAGAGATGCCAACCATACTTCAGTGGGGGCCCTGCGTTCCATCCCGTCCACCTGCAACTGACCTCAGAACTACCTCCCATAGGGCCTTGCTTCCCAAATCCTGGAAGAGTTTGAGAAGCCAGGTTCAGTGTTGTCTCTGTCTCACTCTTCCCACTGCTTCTTTACATACTGGTCTCTCAACATAAGCATGTTCAAGCATGGAGGGCCCAAAGAGGATGAGCTGAGCCTGGGGAGGGGGGCGGAAATGAAGGCTGCGGTCCACCCTCCTTCACGGCCCCTGAAATTCCACTTTGTTTCACTTCCCTAGATATAGCAGTCTTTCACACTTTAGTGCAAATTAGCCTGGTATAATGCTTTCTTCAAAGAGGGGTTTAGCGGGACAGCCCTTAGCATTCTGAGTGAAATGGTAAGGCACAACTAGAAAAGTGAAAGAAGAGGGATGTCTGGTAAACCCTGCCTTTTCTGAGAGTAGGGAGCACTAAAGGTAGATACTCTCGATTCACCCTGCCCACTGATGGAGCAGGGACCCCAGCTTGCATTGGTTCTATAACGCTTGCTCCACACTAAAGACAAACTAGCAGCCCAGCGCACTTCACATTTAGCTGTTTTTAATGCTCAAAAGCTCTGTACAAAAAAATCACAAATGAATCCTCACAACACCCCTGTGAGGTAGGTAGGAAGTATTATTCTCCCATTTTGCAGATGGGGATACTGAGGCAGAGCAGTGACCGGCCAGTGATCCCAGCACAGGAAAGTCAGGGCCAACCACAAGGACGCAAAGACCCCCTCCCAGTTCAGCCCTGATCTCTGACCCCTCACCCAGACCCTGTCTGCAAAGAAAGTAAAAATTTTTAATACATGCAAAATAATTAAAAAATACATCTGGAAAGATAGTGAACAGACATACAGTAGTTCTGCAAAAAGATATCAGCCAAGATGGTCAAATATTTTCCAATACTAGGTAGATATGAACAACTTCAGCCTCTTGTCCCCTTTTCAAATGTCATGACTAGGGACACAACCACTGTTCTTCTCCATAAGTTCAGGGGCTGAACCAAAGAGGCCCCCTGGCCCCAACAAGCCAGGCCAGGTGGACGGCCTCCCCACCATTCAGCCCCTGGTGTTCAGCAGATCCCGGCCCCCAGAGCAAGAGCAGCAAGGCTCTACCCAACACCGCCTGCCCCTCCTGCCTCTTCTGAGAGGCTTTCCCACCGCACAGACACAGCAGATCCTGGAGGTCTGGAGGTCAGCGTGCTGGCCCCTTCCGCTCCTACTGGGGGCAGCTCAGTGGGCCTCGGTGAGAATGGACTGGTATCTGGGTGACCCCCAGGCTGCCACTGGCCTACTCTCACACACCCCACCACTCACTCAGGTGCGGCATCCCTGAGAGCTTCTGCTGCAGCAGGTGGGGGCAAAGGGCCATCTTGGGCTGCGGGGACGGGGCGGAGGGATGGAGGGACCCGAGGCTGCGTGCCTTTGCTTCCTCAGCACCTCCCACCCGGGCTCCCAGGCAAATGGAGCTGGCTTCTTTCACAGGGTTCATCCACCTTCCAGACGCTCTTTCTTCCTCTGAGAAGGGCTCCCTGATGTTTCCAGCTCCTTGGGAAACTTCACAAGCTCCTTGGGAAACTCTGGGGTCCTGCCAGCCCCATGGGAGGGAAGAGGGGAAAGAAAGGAGAGGCAGAGGCCTCTGCTGGACCCACCAAGCCATGTGGCTGTGCTTCTGGGAGTCTCCAGGTTGGAGACGGGGCACAAGAGGCAAGAACACTAGGTAAAGCTGCCTTTAAAGGAACAAAGCCACCCAGGGTGCTGTCCACCCCCAGGGAGCAGAGGCCCCCAGTGCAGTGCTCAGGCAGCTAAAGGGGAGAAGCCGAGAGGGAGAGCAGGGAATGAATGCGAGAGAAGGAACCCAGCACTGGCGCGCTGCTCCGCCCTGGGGCTGTCGGTCCTCCGAGAGGGGAGAAGGAGGAGGGTGGCTGTGGAGTGGCAAGCAGCTTTGTTCAGCAACCTGAGGAGCGAACTCCTCGGAGGGCCGGTGCCAGCCCGTCTGCAGGACATACCCACCAGGCTCTCCTGAAGGCTGCTCTCACGCCTGTCACTTGCAAGGTATGACTATGTGCTTACTGTCCTATAAAAAGCTTTTTCAAAACAAGGGTCCCAACCCAGCCTCTCTGGGAAGCTGGGGAACTGTTAAGTCAGGGCCACTTCAGTGAAGAGCACCTCAGACACCCCAAGCCTTCGTGTGGCTCTGCTGGAGGGGATGGGGCTAGGGACACAGTCTACGGGAAGTCCCCAGCAGCGACAGGTGCAAGGCTGTGGTTCTGCTCCTGCCACCGGCAGCGCAGCCTTGAGAAGGGCTGGTCCTCCATGCTCTCGAGCTCGGGGAAGCCCAGCTGATTGAGGATCTCATAGACTCCAGCCTTCGACGCCACCTGGAAAGGACAGAGATGGGGCTGCATCCCGAGGACGGTGCCATTCGGGGTCACCCCGCCCCACGCCACGCCTTCCTTCCCTTGCTGGGCTCAGAAGTGCACAGCTGAGCCTGGGGCCCAGGGCCGCCTCCTACCAGCTCAGCGAACAGTTTGCGTTTTGACCACTACGAACTGCTCTGAGCATAATTTCCTCAAAACAGGGACAACAGCCTCTACCTGGCGGATGGTCGTGCAGGGCTGCGTCAGCCCCAGAAGCACTCCGCAGGTGAGAGCCCTGCCGAAGACCCGCTGGCTCTGAGCCCGTGTGGCCCAGTCCCCCACAGGGACAGCTATGAGCACAGACTCTGGGCCTGACAGCCAGGCCACGGGGAGGGAGGGAGGGCAGGGGGTGGTGGTGGTGGCATGAACTTGGGAGCCAGCAGGTGCCCCTGGCTGTGCGTTCTGGCTGTGAGCCTCCGTGCAGGCAGGCTACCTGGGCTGCCCTGGACACCCTCCACGCAGCTCTGTTGCCCATGGCCCGGGCCCTGACACCAGGCCCAAGCCGTCCGGCAAGCAGCCCCCTTCCCACCCCGCCATCCTGGGGGTGCGGAAGGGCAGGGCCCACCAGAACAAAGGCCCCCAAGCAGCCCTCACTCCTTCTTGCCACTCACACCCAGGAGCCTAGCCGGGGGCTGTAACCCCACACTCCTAAGTGGGCCCCACTCCCCTCCTCCCTTGACCCCCACACTCACCACCCAGGTTCGGCCGGTGAGAGGTTCAGCTCCTTCCCAGCCCTCAGTCACCCTGATTCCACTCTCCAAGCAAAACCCGAGTGGAAGTGTCCTAGGTCCCCCACCCCACCTCCACCCAGGGGCCCCCAGGAAGCTGAGCCACAGCCTCCTCAAGAGCAGGGCCCCAACTTGGCCTTGGTGTGACCCACCCCCGTCAGGCGTCCTAACTCAACACTCACCCACCCCAAGGCCTCGCACAAAGCTTTTCCTTCAGCAAGACAGCCCGGCAGCCACTGTCCCTGGCACGGTGCACCGCGGTGGCCGCCCTGCCTCCGTCCTCACAGCTCTGGCCCCACCCGCACCCCTGCCTAGGCCCCTGTCCTCCCTCACCCACTCTCTGGGGCCCCAGCTTCCTGCCCTCCCACCTGCCTGCCCCACGGGAGCTAATGCAGCTTGACCCACATTAGAATCACCAGCACAGGTGGCACAGTCAGGAGGGGCCAGCATCCTGGCGGAGGGGTAATTACAGGACACTTTGCCAGGGACAGAAGGAGGCCACCTGCTGACCTAGAGGGAACGAAGCGCCAGCTCTGCCGCTCGAACCGGCTGAGACAGAGGCAGAACCGGGAGGAGGGTGGTGTCCCTGGCCGACGTCGCGGGCTCTGCCCACCAGCTGGCTCTAATGCTGGTCGTGAGCAAGGTACTTGACCTCTCCGCGCTGGTCCCCTCCTCCTCTGGAGAACGGGAGTGTCCAGCCTCCGTGCAGGCAGAGCTGCCTAGCGCAGTGTCCAGCAGGGGGAGCCCTGTGTCGCACGGACGCCACCACAGCCCTCCGAGGTGGTGCGGACGGTATCGACATTGCGTCCATTCTAACACTGCGGGCAGCGGGACAGTTACCTAACTCGTATGAGGTCGTACGGAAGGTGGAGGGGGACTGGGCCACCATGCCGTCTCGCCCCTCGCATAGCAGGCGAGGGCTGAACACACGGCGGGACGTGAAGAGGCCAGCGATGTTGGCCCCGGGGACACACAGAGCGGGGGCCCAGCCTGACACACCGCCCTGTCCTGTTCCCCACGTGCCTCGTCTCCGTCCTCCTCATTCATTCGTTCGTTCACTCACTCATTCGCTCACCGAGCTTCTGCTGCCTGCCAGGCGCAGACGCTGTGCTGGGGACCCGAAGCCAACAGGACAAAATCCCAGCCAGACAGAAGAGTGACAGGTGGGCCTGCTTCCCGCCCAGCGGGGCCCATCCAGGCAGCCTGGGCCCCCCGCCTCTCACCTCCCGCATCCAGGTGCTGAAAGGCCTCTGCCAGGCGCCCGCCTTCTCCAGGTGCAGGTAAGCGTTGAAGAGCACCAGGTACACGTAGCGCTCCAGGTACTGCAGGCTCCGCAGCCGCAGCCTCCGGGCCTCCTGCTCCGCCTTGGCGGCCTTCACCTGCAGGATGGCGCAGGGCGGGCATCAGCACAGGGGTTCATCCCCACCCAACACACATGGACACATCGCACACATACATCGCACACGAACCACGCATACTCACACCCCACACACTTACAACATACACCCCACACATAGCTATCACGCCCACTCACACCGTACACACTCAGACACACGCTCACCCCCTCACACTCATCCTCGACTGCCCTCAGCACCGGGGTGGGGGGGGGGACGGGAGGAAGGGACTCAGACGGCAAGGCCAAGGGCGTCCAAAGTCCACTTCCTACCGGGACGCATGGACACGCCGCCTGGCCTCCCTCAATCCCTACTTCCTCTTTGGGAAAGGCGACCCCGCCCTGTTCTGAGGGGTGAGCAGACGAGGGCAGGCTGCCCTGGGAGAGCCCCGTTCAGGCACCCTCCGTCCTGCCTGAGGCGTGGGCAGGCCCTCCCAGAGGCAGGCCCCGGGGGCCCGAGACCGATGCCCAGCTCTGACCACTAGGAAGGACCCTTTCCGCCAGCTCCTGTCAGCCCCGAGTGGGGACATCTCCTCTCCAACCCCCAGCCCTCTCCAGACTGGAGGGAAGACTCTTGGCTCCTCTCTCCCCCCGAGCCCTTAGGCCTCCCTCAGGGAGGGGCGGGTGGGTGTGAGTTCTCTGATCAGTGGCCTGGGAAGGGGCCAGGCCAGCAGTCAGCACGGCTCCGCACTCGGGGATCTGCCTGGGTGACGCAGTGTGGACCCTGCCCTCACCCAGCCTGGGCTCCGAGGCCTCCAGCCGCTCACAAGAGCGAGTTCATCCCGGCCTGGGAAGAGGGAGAGACTGACTCAGCCTCAGTCCCACAAACCAGGAGCCACCGTGGGCCTGCTCTGGGGGCCTGTGGCCCCCCACCTCCCACTTCTGCCTCCAGTAATTCAGCCCCCGGGGCCTCTGCCGTCTTTGCTCCCAGGCTGTGTGAGTGGACAGTGATTACACGCCCAGCTCACCCCACCATCCATAAGGAGCTCTGCAGCCGTGGGGATGGGGCAAGGGTGGAAAGTGAACAAGGAGACAGGAGCCAGGTTCTGGGCCTGCTTCTGCCGTTTACACTCTCAGCCCCCACGGCCATTTCTGGAGGTGGGGCCGCTCAGGACAGTGAGGTGTGAGGAAGCACCTGGGAACCAGGAAGAGCTGCACAGGTCCATTCATTTGGGGGACAGGACGGAGGGCTGGGACACACGCACAGGCCCTGCCCACAGAGATGCTGGGTGGGGGCGGGGAGGTGGGGGCAGTTGAAGACAGACAGGAAGCACCCAGAGGGGTCAGACCCTGAGATCGATTCGAAGAAGGCAAGTAGCTGGACTGGGGAGGGCACCGGAGAGGAGGCGATGTTTACGGTGGGTTAGGAGGAGGGGCCGAAAAGTGCCCTGAGAAGGGCAGAAAAGGGGCTAAAGAGAGAGGTGCGTCCGGGCAGACAGAGGGGGAGGAGCGTAGGGCAGCAGTGCAGGGTGACGACGAGGCGGCGCCCAGAGGCCCGGCCAGGGCCAGGCCCCTCAGACCAAGGGGCCAGGGACGGCTCCTGGTGGATCGGCCCTGGGGAATGGCCGCCTGGTTGCTGCTGGGGGTGTGGAGTGGGGTCAGGAAGACCGCCCATGGGTTTTAACGATCAACCAATTTTTGTTCAGAATTAGGCAGTGGACCAAGAAACAAGGTTTTCCCTAAATACAAACTGTGGCCAGTGCCATGCAGCTCTGGTAGCTTGACGAGGGGTTCGCCACCCTGCACCGCGAGGGGATCCGCCATCCATGCCTAATGCTGCTCCCTCGCTCCAGCCACAGGCCCAGAGCCCGTCCAGGACTCTTTTCTTAGAAAGAAGGAAGGAAATCAGCAGTGTCCTTCCAGACAAAAGCCTCAAAAGCCAACTGCTTCCGATGGGCCTGCTCAGAAGAAACGTCCAGAGGGCGTGCAAAGCCCGCAGCTCTGGGCCTGGTGCCCGGCACAGCCGCGCCAGCCCTGCACTCTCTCGGGGCCCCACCCCCGCCCCCGGACACCAGCAGGGATGGGCCTGAGCCACACTGAGGGTGGAGAGGCCAAGAGGTGCCTTCTGAGCCCTACTGGCAAGGTAGGGTGGAATTATCTCTAAATGCAGACCACTGGGTGAGGGTGACGCCTGCCACTCCCCAGAAGGTTCTGAGGGCACATCCTGCCCCACCCAAGTCTGTGACTGAGGAATGACCCATCTTCCTATCCAGGCCCTTGTTTCCTTAACATTACCCGTCACGGCGCAGTCTGGGGAGGAGGACGGGCAGCCACCTCCTGCTGACAAAAATAGCGCAGCTGTTTTTAAATGGCCTGGCAGGCCAGGCAGTCATTAGCTGCGGTGCCGTGGGCAAGGCCTTCTGTCCTCCGGGACTGAGCCCTAAAATAGAAAGGGCACGAAAAAGGTGGCCAGGGCGCTGGGCACTTCAGGCCTCTCAAGCCTGCAGTCGGCCCGGCACCAACTCTGCCCGGGTGCCGGCAGGGGCTCTGCTGACGCTCTGCTTCCTGCTGGTACGGAGGAGGGGCCGGCAAGCCTCTGCAGGCGTGACCAGGGCCCGCCGCACACCGAGTGCTGGGGGAGCATGTTCCACCCAGATCTGACGCTTAGACTCTACTCCCTGGGCAATAACTCCATGCAGGAGGAGCAACACCCCGCGGCGCAGGTGAGAACCTGCAAGGTTAGGTAACCACCCAGGGGCACAGAGCTCCAAGCCGGGACACAAACTCCAATGGCCAAGCTCTCCGATCACCCTCTCCCTTCTTCACAGTCGAGCTCAGCCACTCCCTGCCTTCCCATCACCGTGGCACTCTTACCCCCCCCCCCTCCTGCGGCCTGGAATGCCCTCCCACCTCCCACGCTGATCCAGGCCCAGGACAAGCCCCTCTCCTGACGCCGGTGGTGTGAGCTCCGGCCCCACAGAGCTTGCTTCTTGGCTTCCTCTGCTCCCCAAGGCACGACCAGCCTCTACCACGTGAACCAGGGGACAAGCACCAGATCATAAACCGGCCCATCTCTCTGTCCCCCCCGCCGCCCTGAGAGCTGGGCAGGGCCCGCACACAGCAAGTGCCCGGTTGGTTGCCAAGCACTGACCGCAGGGCGCCTCCCACCCGTCTCATGCTTCCACTGTCACCTAGAATCCAGGTCCCAGACAGGACACTGGGGACTCCCACCTGTGCACCTGGGACTCCAGACCTGGACGTGCAACGGCCCACGCAGCGCTTCTCAGAGGCACCGGCTGTGTCCCAGACGGACCTGCCGAGCTCTCCCCACAGCGGCCCACCCACGGTTGGCCCATCCCAGTAGCAGTTCTGTCCTTCCCGAGGCTCGGGTCCAAACCTGGCACCCCTCCTTGACTTCGCCCTCCCTCAGCCCTGCACCCAACCAGTCAGGGAATGTGGTCCACTCTACTCCAAACGCTCCCGGAAGCCGCCCACCTCGCACAGCCCTGGTTCGGGCCACCTCACCGCCGTGATGGTGCCCGACTAGCCCCCACTCCCACTGCCTACCATCAACACTGCACCATGGCGGCTCTGCTAGAACATCCAGTCAGCCCCTCTGCTCGACGCCCTGCACCGGCCCCCAGCAGCCCTCCGTGTGGAAGCCGAAGTCCCTGTGACCCCACACAAGGCCCTGTTCAGTCTGTCCTTCCTGCCCCGTCACCTCTGACCTCCTGTCCTGTCCGTCCCTGCTCCTCAAACAAACCACACAGCTCCAACCTCAGGGCCTTTGCACTGACCACATTCTCTGCCTGGATTTCAGCACGGCTGCCTCCCTCCCCTCCTTCAGGTTTGTTTGCAAATACTGCCTTCTCATCGAGCCCCACCCTGCCCCAGACCCTGTGTAAAACACCCCACCAGTTTGCTTGTATATTGTTTCCTGTGCGTCTGCCTGCCTCACTGGACTGCGGGTTCCGGGCGCCGTCACGTCCTGTCACGAGGCCTCTCTGGCCCCCACACAGCGCCTGGCGTTCAGGAGGTGCTTGATAAATGTTTGTCAGGTCCATAAATGACCACTGCCGGCAGTTTCACTCAGCCCTGCCTCAGACTGCCTGGGACGACCCAGAGCCACCCGTTTGTGTCCCAGAAAGGGAGACTGCAGTGACAGAGGGGAGCTGGCCTGCCGGGTCGAGTGCAGAGGCGGGAGCAGCACAGGCTCCAGGAAACAGCCCCAGAGGAGAAACGAGGAGAGGCTCAGGGCCTGTGTTAACCAAGCCAGGCAGCACCCCACTCCTGGAGAGTCCGGCCGCCCTCGCCCCAGCCCCCTGAACAGAACAGCATGGCCCGGTGACCACTGCAGCCCTCAAAGATGTCTCTAAGGGAGGGATCCCAGCTCAGACCCCATCCTTCTTCTCAAGGTTCAAGGCCACCCCTCTCCTGGGCAGACGCTGGCCCCCCAGCAGTCAGCAACAGCTGCTTCCCGGGGCTGTCCCCTCAGGCTTGTGCGGCCATGGGGCCTGGAGTACGATAAAGCCCTCAGCCCATTGGCAGGCAACTAGATTTTCAAAGATGTCATGTTTTGTTCAGCGCTTTCAAAGTGCAAAGGGGCAAAACCTGGGACAGTACACTTCTCTGCACGCCGTTCATTCAACAAATGTTCTGCACGCACCCCAGGCCAGGCTCTGGGATTCAGCACCTATAAGACGCGGTCACAGCCCTCAGGAGCCCGCCGTCCCTGCACACAGCCCAGTGAGTCAGCCTGGTGTCCCAGCCCCCCTACCACTCCCCAACCCTGCACCCTACATACCCAGGATGGTGCTCGCCACCATCCTTCAAGGCAGATGGGGCAGCGGCAGTGACCCCGGGCAGCAGATGGAAAAGCAGAGGCCCAGACAGACCAGCGCGACTGGCCGGAGGCTGCAGGGGGAGCTGCTGGCAAAGCCGGGCCAGCACTGGGGTTTCCCGTCCCTGACCCAGGGCTCTCTCAGTTGCTGGAAAAGAGCACCCTCTCTTGGAAGACCGATAATGTGGACAAAGAACCAAAGGATA